ATTCATTCTGCTCCTTTCACATCTGATTCGTTTCTGAGTGATGTAAAACTTTTGTGTCCTGAAAGGGATAAATGACTTGCAAGACATATGAGAAAGACATAACATTAAATTTTTAACATTAAATGTTGATTATAATGTAGCAAAGATAGGCGCCTTAATAATAAATGTGTCAAGGTTGTAAAAGGAACAATTCACAAAAAAAGGAATACAAGTAAACAACAAATCTATGAAAATATAATCAATTTGTTAACAAAGAAATGTCCAGCCGGGCTCGGTGGCTCAGCCTGTAATCTCACGCTTTGGGAGGCTGAGGTGAGTGGATTGCCTGAGCCCGCGGGTTCGAGACCCGCCTGGGCAACTTGGCGAGACCTCATCTCCACAATAAAAATCAAAAATTAGCCGGGCGTGGTAGCGCGCACCTGTAGTTCCAGCTACTCGGAAGGCTGAGGTGGAAGAATCGCCGGAGCTCAGCAGGTCGAGGCTGCGGTGGCCGGGAGCGGCCACTGCCCTCCAGTCTGGGCGACAGAGTGAGACTCCAACTCAAATAAATAAATAAATAAGTAATAAAATAAATGACAGACAAGATATCCAAGAGTTAGTAATAAACAGAAGTGGCAGGCCAGCGCGGTGGCTCACGCCTACAATCCCAGCACTTTGGGAGGCCAAGGTGAGAGGATCGCCTGAGCTCACGGGTTTGAGAGCAACCTGGGCAGCTTGGCGAGACCTCTTCTCTACAATACATCAAAAAATGAGCCGGGCATGGTGGTGCTCCCAGTTACTTGGAAGGCTGAGGCGGAAGAATCACCGGAACCCAACAGGTCGAGGCTGTGGTGGCCGGGAGCGTGCCACTGCACTTCAGTCTGGGTGACAGAGTGAGACTCCAACTCAAAAAAAAAAAAAAGAAATCTGTGCTTGTCCCCACTAAGTACGTATTTTATTTTTAAAAAAGAGAAAAATAAATTTATATTTTGACAACAAGTCTGCAAGGATGATTTTATCATAAAGAAATAATGAGGGGAGACACCCCTTATCAACAAGGGTGCCTGAACGAAATGTATTTGTATACCTAACCCTTAACTGTACCCCACAATATCAAAATAAAAAATATTGATCAGAAAAAAAAAGAAAGAACGAAGACTATGTACTAGGACTTGGCTATAAGCTTACACATTACAGGCTTTTTTTTTTTGGAGTTGGGTCTCCCTCTGTCGCCCAGGCTAGAATGCAGTAGCACGCTGATAACCTCCTGGGCTCAGGCAATCCTTCCATCACAGCCTCCCAAGTAGCTGGGACTATAGGCGAGTGCCACCATGTCCAGCGAACTTTTTGTAAGATGAGTTCTCGCTGTGTTGCCTAAGCTGATCTCCAACTCCTGGGTTCAAGTTATCCTCCCTCCTCAGTCTCCCAAAGTGCTGGGGTTACAGACATCAGTCACAGTACCCGGCTACACAGTACGATATTTTAAAGTCAAAATTTGGAAACAACATAAATGTCTAAGAGAAGGGAGACTCATCAGGGAGGTGAGAGGAAGAGGGCAGGCACCCTTTGGCTGAGGTGAGCTGGAGGACGCTGTCACCACTTTGCTCCGACCAGGTCTTTCAGGCTGGAGTTGGACAGCGGTTGCTGGCTCAGCCACTTAGAAGCAGGGAAGTAGAAGTTCATTGCTTCTCAGGGTCAGCATGTAACCGGGGGGAAAAAATGTGTGTCTTAAGCAGGCTTTCTTTCAAAAGCATTTTTTTATTACCCCAAAACAATGTTCATCTCCAAAATTTCAAACTTCACAAAAGTTAATGAAGCAAAAAGTGAAAGCTTCCTTTCAGCCTGCTCGAAATCGAAGTCCAGAAAGACAAGCAGTGTAAAAATCCGGCATGAATCCTTCAGGTCTTTTCCAAGTATATGCTAATAATAACATTAGCATTTAGTGTGGTGCGGCATAGAGCAGTATCACTCAGCACAGTATAAACATCGTATAACATATAAAAAAGGTTATATGACATATAGTGTTTTGCAATTTGCTCTTTTCATGTGGTTTACCAACGGCATCTTTCCATGTTTTACTTTTTAGTTCTATTTCATTCAATTTTAACCGTTGTAATGCAATATTTCATAACATGAACATGCCATAATTTTAGTCGTTTACTTTTTATTTTTGAAGGGACCGGGTCTCACTATGTTGCCCAGGCTGGTCTTGAACTCCTGGGCTCAAGCGATCCTCCAGCCTCAGCCTCCCAAAGTGCTGGGATTATTACAGACATGAGCTACCATATCCAGCCAGTTGTTTGCGATTTTTATTACAAAAATGCTACAACAAATATCCCTGAAGAAAAATTTTCAACATTTGTGCAGAATAGATCTCTCAAATTAAAATCACTAGGTCAAAAAATGCACACATTTTAAAGTTTGGTGGAAATTGCCAAATTTCTTTCCCTGAGAAGTATGGATGTACATTCGGTCCAGTGTTTGTTGAAGGTCCCTGTTCTTCCACATACTCATGTGAATAATGTAAATTTTTATCTTTTCTAGTTTTGCCAATCTGATGGTGAACAATGGTATCTCATGGCTATGTAATGTACATGTATTTCTGGTGACATCGGCTCTTCTCATATGTTTGATATTTCTTCTATAAGGTATTTCATCTGTAAAGTGATCATTTATATTCTTTCCCATTTTATTTTATTTTATTTTATTTTAGTTGGAGTCTCACTCTGTCGCCCAGACTGGAGTGCAGTGGCTGCTCCCAGCCACCACAGCCTCGACCTGCTGGGCTCCGGCGATCCTTCCGCCTCAGCCTTCCAAGTAGGCAGAACTACAGGCGCGCGCTACCACGTCCGGCTAATTTTTGATTTATTGTAGAGATGAGGTCTCATCAGGTTGCCCAGATGGGTCTCGAACCCATGGGCTCAGGCAATCCACTCACCTCAGTCTCCCAAAATGCGGGATTACAGACTGAGCCACTGAGCCCGGCTATTCTTTCCCATTTTAAACACCATTTTTTCTTCTTGATTAATAGAAATTATTCATATATCTTGAATATTAATAATTTTTCATATGTATTGCAAGTATTTTGTCATATCTTTTCATTTTGTTCATTAACTCTTTGCCTGTACATAAATTTGACTTTTTATGTAGTCAATTGTGTCCAGCTTTCCTTTATTACTTCTGAATCATGTTTTATGTACAGATAGGCCTTCCACATACAAATATAAAAAATTTCTTTTGAGATAGTCTTTTTAGTCTTTATTTTTTTGCATTTAAAATTTTAATCCAGCCAGCTCGGTGGCTCAGCCTGTAATCCTGCGCCTTTGGGAGGCTGAGGTGAGTGGATTGCCTGAGCCCGCGGGTTCGAGACCCACCTGGGCGGCGAGAACTCATCTCAACAATAAATCAAAAAATCAGCCGGGCGTGGTAGCACATGCCTGTAATTCCGGCTACTCGGAAGGCTGAGGTGGAAGGATCGCCGGAGCCCAGCAGGTCGAGGCTGCGGTGGCCGGGAGTGGCCACTACACTCCGGTCTGGGCGACAGAGTGAGACTCCAACTCAAAAAAAAAAAAAAGTTTAATCCAACTGTAGTTTATTACTGCAGATGATGTTCACACACCAAATATTTGGGCTTCCTTTTAAACCCAGTAGTAGTGAACAATTGCTTTGCCTTAATTTCATTTTCTGGGCAACATTTTGACAGATGACGTCCATATTTGCACTTAAAGTTGAAAATGAAAACAAGTACAACTTTTACAATTTTTACTTGCTATGGGCTAAAGAATTGTAAAGCTGGAAGTTTGCTTTGGAAACCTCTCATTGGGTTTTTCCTTTTTTCCTACCTGCGTGTCTCATCATTTCAGGGTACATCCATCTCTGTGCCACTATCTTCTCTTGTATTACAAATTTCCTTTCTTTTCTCTCCCTATCCCCCTACTCTTTTTGTGTTGATCTCATCCTTTCCCCAACCATCTATAAGTTAACCACCTTACGTGTTTTTTAATCATTTGTTCTGGTGGTTTAATAATACTCCACAGTTTCTATGCCTCTTTGTTTTGGAACAAGTTTTTATTTACCTAGCTGTGAATTTCACTAGTTGTAAAACGTATGCCAAACATAGGATTTGGGGATTGCAAGCATTTACAGTTGGTATTCAATTTCTTTCTAACACAAAACAATTTTAGAACACTAAAAATGGGTTTAGAACATTGCAGCCAGATATGGTGGCTCACACTTGTAATCCCAGCACTTTGGGAGGTCAAGACAGGAAAATCACTGGAGCCCAGGACTTCAAGACCAGCCTGGGCACTGTAGCCAGACCTCTTCTCTACAAAAAAATACAAAAATGAGCTGGGCATGATGGCGTGTGCCTGTAGTCTCAGCTACTCAGGAGGCTGAGATGGAAGGGACCCCTGAGTGCTGAGCCGTGATTGGACCACTACACTCCAGTCTGAGTGACAGAGTGAGATCCTGGCTCAAAAAAAATTAAAAATAAAAAATAAAAACCACTCTTGGGGGGGAAAGAAACAAATCCATCTTCTAACAATTTTTGTGTATATACACTTTCCAATGTTTATAATCACATGGGTACCTGTGTCTCTGTGTGGTCTTGTCACAGGCAACATAGCCGAGGGGCTGGCAGGCAGGATGGTGGAACTTGGCTTCTTGTTTACAGAGGGGTGATCGTGAGTGACCTGCTTCGCCTCTCGGTTTCTTTTCTCTTTCATGGGATGAAGAGTCATGATAAAAGTCAGCCCCTGCCCCCGACTCCATTTTTCTGTGTGAGGATTAAGAGGCGATACTAAAACACATACTTAGAAGTGCACCTGCTTTGGCTAAGGAGCACATCAGAGGGGTTGGTTTGCTGGGAGTGCATGTGAGCGTGTGTGTTCTGTGCGGCTGTAAAAGAAGCAGAAAAGAGAGTCACGTGGTTAAGCTCTCAGGGGTGGGTTCCGCCAGTCTCGCTCTGGGTCCTTTTGCACGAAGAGCTCAAAACAGCAAGAAGGAAACCAGCCCCTATGATGAGTTTCCCATGTAAAATGTTAGCCAGCTTCCTTCTGATCTGCAACTTTCCTGCCAAAGGTAAGCTGACGTGTGGGGTCCACTGCCGCGGTTCGAGGCTTCTTTGGAGACTGAAGTGAGCAGAAGAGTCAAAGAGGACACAGCTCAGCTTTCCCTGGTAGTGAGTCTCAAGACCTCAACAGCTGTCTTGTTTTTCATAGGTGCAGAAATAAGCAATGGAACCAAAGTCTGTGGTATCCTGCACGACCACGTGAACTTGGACATTCCCGATTTCAAAATGGAAGGTGATATCGATGACATACGCTGGGAAAACAGGACCACCAAGGTCGCACGACTCAAGACACACAAGGGCTACTCCCAGACAAACAGCCCCTACGAAGTACTAGCAAATGGAACTCTGAAAATTAGACAGCTGAATGTAACTTCCAAAGGCCTCTACAAGGTCTCCGTGTACAACAAAGGTGGAAAACACATCAAGGAACACACATTTGATTTGACGGTTCAAGGTAAGCGTTCGTTCCCGAAACTCCTTCATTTCACTATGAGTGCCATTGAAGCGAGTTGGAAAATCGCCTTTCGAACAGCCTCGACCCCCACCTCCAGGAGGGCTTAAAGGAAGTTGGCTTCATTCTCCTGCTCCGGTGGAGACCCTGGCCCCGTGCAGGGATGGCACCCACACACCCGACAGACTCTCTAGTCTGTCTGCCCACGACTCTCTCTTCAGGTCGTTACAGGGATGTGGGGCTGGGTGAGAACTGGGATTAAAATGGCGTGAATCAGGAGGGAGGCAGGTGGGCAGAGGGGCAGAGGGGCCGTCCCAGCTGGCCGAGGAAGGGGCGCCCTAGGGCTGGGGCAGGAAGGAGAGGCTGGCCAGAGAGCCCACTTACACATTTAAGGACGAATAGCCCTTGTTTCAGATCTGTTCAGCGTCAGTGCTCCAGGGTGGAAGGTGATTTTTGCTGAGACGTGTAGAAAATACACATGATGCAGCTTTGTGTGTCTCTGCGTGTCCTGGGGGCGCGGGAGTGGTTATGGAGGACAGAGGTGGGGAGGCTGGCCAGGAAACTGGGACTGTAATCCGAGTGGAGTGGAGAGGGCTGGTGGTGATTCTTCCCCCTGGCTGCATGTTAGAATCAACAGCGATGCTATTACAAGTCACCAGCGCCCAAGCTTCATCCTAGACCAATTAAATCAGAATTTTTTGGCATAGGGCCTGGACATCGGTAGGTTCTAAGGCTCCCCAGGCAATCCTCATCAGCAGACAGAGTCAGTAGCCACTGGTCTGGACGGACAGAGGCCTGTGAAATGAGGACAGATAAGCATAATGAGGGAATATTGGAGAAAGGACAGACGGGTGGCTTGGGCGAGGGAGATAAGGAAGAGAAAGTGGAACTGAAAGGCCACTGAAGTTGAAAGTCCAGAAGATACTGGGCAGAACGTGGCCAGAAGGGAAGAGAGGAAGTTGCTGTTGGCTTGGAGAGGCAGATAGGAACCCAGGCCCAAGCTCGGGACACCCATTCCGTGAGCAAATAAACATGTCTGTGCTTCACACTGGAAACAGCGCCAGAGGCAGGGCCCCCTGCCCCTACCCAGGGTCTCTCGCCAGCCCTGGGCCTAGCAGCAGCCCCCTCCAACAGCCCCCCAGCCGGCTCTCCTGCAAGGACAACTTCCCCCGCCCTAGTCCTGCAACCTTGAGCACCTTCCAGATATGGGGTGGGGTGGAGAATGGCACAGGAAGGGGCCTCTGATTCTGGGCTCTGAGGATGGCACATCTCACAACTCTAGCCTGCAGGTGTGAGTGTTGTGTTTCGAGGGTGAGACCTACATAGGGGAGCATGTTGGTGACTTCACGTGCATGTCGCGTTCAGTCTGTGATGGAAATACTGGCTACCAGCAAGGTGTCAGGTGCTTGCTTGTGTGTTTTTATTGAAAGCTCCTGTGATCCTTGAAAGTAGTTGTTATTATCCCTTCATTAGCTGTAAGAAAACCCAGTCTGAAGGGGCTTGTCCAACATCTCACTGCTTGACAGGAGCAAAGTCGGGATTCAAACCCAGTGTCCTTTTGGCAAGGATAGTGACCTTGGTTGTTGTTGTTAACCAGCTTTGTTGAGTTATCATTTACATACCATATGATTCATCCATCCAGAGTGTACAATTCAAGGGCTTTGAGTATTTTCACAGTTGTGCAACCATCACCACAATGAACATTTTAATTATCCCAAAAAGAAGCCCCGCACCCCTTGGCCAAAAGACAGCGATTTTGTGTCATTGTGGTGTGCGCATGCCAATGTCATACAGCATCTCTACTCAGCTTTGGTCAGTCACCATCACCAGACCAAGGTCGCCATGGCCTTGGGCAAATGCCTCATCTGCCCTCTGTCTGATTTTCCCAGTAATCGCTGCAAGAGATATTTGACGTGTTGTGGTGCGTGCAGTGCCTGGAGTACAACACCTGTCTGCTTGAGGCCAATGCCCACTCACCTCTCTTTGTTTCTCCTAACTTCTCAAGCTTCATGGTACCCACTTCTTTTGAATTGAGGGGACTGCTGCTGCAGACTGGAGAAGTGGTGGAGGGCCCCTTTGAAGCAGATCTCGTAGTGAATGGGTTAAGCTTAGTCATTCAGAATTAAGGAGTTCACTTCAGGGAGGCCATCTCACAAAGAGGATATGTACAAAGGTACCCCTACCCAAGGCTGCTCATCACTGCATTGATTATATGAGTGAAATACTGGAAGTGATTTAAAAGTCTCTAGCGATTAGAAACTTACTCATTACATTAAGAATGCATTGTTTTAAAAGATAGAGGCCAGGTATGATGGCTCACGCCTGTAATGCCAGCGCCGTAGGAGGCCAAGGCGGGAGGATTATCACAATTTGAGCAGTTTGAGACCATCCTGGGCAACATAGTGAGACTTCGTCTCTACAAAAATGAAAAAAAAACCCAGCCTGGTGTGGTGGCCAGCGCCTGTAGTCCCAGCCACACAGAAGGCTGAGGAGGAAGGATTGCCAGAACCCAGGAGGTCAAGGCTGCAGTGAGTCGGGGTCACGCCCTGCATCCCAGCCAGCCTGGGTGACAGAATGAGACCCTGACTCAAAAAAATGCATGAGTCTTTATGGATGTTCATAAAGGAAAGAGTTTCATAATATAATTTCATAGGAAGGGGAAAAGGCAGGCTATAAAATCACATAATCTGGGTTTATTTATTTTTAAAATATTATATTATTTGTATGTGTATGTATGCGTGGAAAATACCTGGTAAAGATATGCATCAAAATATTTGCAATTATCAACTTTGGGTAGTGGCATTGTGGGGCATTTTTAATCTGCTTTAAATTTTTAAAATATCTTGTCAATTTTCACAATGATTGGATGTTATAAATAGAAAAAGAATATTTCCATTTTGAATAGACAGGTAAACACTGTGACCCGACCTCTCGACTATGTACTGACTCTGTCGTTGTATGTTGATGTTTTTCCATTTTCTTCATTCTGGGTTATATAACATCTCAGAATGGGAAGGAAATTTCATTTAATTTCTGCATGCCTGTACATATATTGGGACAGAAATGAAATTTGGCTGAGATGGTCCTTGGGGAAGATATTTGTGTCTAGAAGTCAGAGTGGGAGGGAATTACTGAAAAATAAGCTGTCCATCTACATTACGGATGGAGAGAAACAGAGAGGGGAAAGTGACAAGACTGGAAAAAGGGAATAAAGAATGAGAAAAAAAGGCTGGGTGCAACGGCCCAAACCTGTAATCCCAACACTTTGAGAGGCAGAGGCGAGAGGATTGCCTGAGCCCAGGGGTTTGAGACCAGCCTGGGCGCCTTGGTGAGACCTCGTCTCTGCAATATATCAAAAAATTAGCCAGGCATGGTAGTGCATGCCTGTAGTTCTGGCTGAGACGGAAGGATGGCCTGAGCCCAGTGGGTCAATGCTGGGGTGGCTGTGAGTGTGCCATTGCACTCCAGCCTGGGTAACAGAGTGAGACTCTGACTCAAAAAAAAAAAAAGAATGAGAAAAAGAAGAAAAGAGAAGAAAAAGGAGTGGGGGTAAGATTTGAGCCTGACCCAAGGCCAAGATCAGGTGTTTTTCTTTTATGATGTAACCTTTAAATATCATCATGTCAGAAAAGGAGAGGCAACAAATTTATGATTAATAAACGCAAGACCTACCACTAACAGTGTCAGTGCCCAACACTTTGCCCAGGACTTTGCCATATATGGTCCCTTTTATGACAGATGGGACGTATTTTTCTGATCCTTCTCTTATAGATGAGATCCAGTGAGCAGTCAAGAAGCTTTGGGCTGGGAAAGGGCAGAACCAAGTCTCTGGTTCCCAGGCAGGTGTCCTTTCTCGGCAGAGCTCCTTGGATACTCACACACCCACATGCACCCACCTGGCCCTCCGCTCCTGGGACCCTGGTAGGGACAGGGGATAACAGAGGTCCCGGGCCACACATGTGATGATTCCTCCAGGATGGGGTTTCTGGATCATCTTAAAGTGTCACCGCTCTCAAACTCCGGAGATGAGTACGGATCGAGACATGGTAACCTTCTTCCTCTTACTCCTGAACTTGGACTTAGAGGGTAGGCTCCTCTCTTGATCTGCCATGTTTAGGTAATGCCCTAAGTTCACCCATTGAATCTCCCAGAGTCTTGAGCATTTTGTCTGTAAAAAAAAAGAAAAACATTAGCTTTTCTGTTAGTATCAAATGACATCACGTATGTGAAAACATTTAAAAATATAAGCACATTTTCACTGAACTATGGGCTTGAGTCCTTTTTGCTACAGCACTGAAGAAATATTTTAATTTTTACATATTGAAACTATCGTCAAAATGCTTTGTTTTTAATTCCTTTTTGGAAATGAATGAAATTACCTAAATTATCCAATTCATTCCCAAATAAATGAATTATAGCTGTATAGATAGCAATGCCCTGAGAAATGATTATTATGTTTTTCACTTTGTGCATTCTGAATAGTTTCTAATTAATCATAGTAATAAAGATTAAAGTGATGGCATAGATGTGTTCATGTTCTGAGAAGGAGAAATTGGTCAGTAACTGGGGTTCCTGTACTTGTAGATGGTTAGAATTTAGCCAGGCAAAATGTCTCCCAGCAGTTGGAGGATACAAAGTGCAGCTAAACGTATCCTTGTAATTTGTTTAGGTGGAGTTCAGATACAAGGCAGAGGCTTGTGGAATGCAAGGAAAAGACAGAAGAGTTCATTCAGTCACTGCTAATTATTGTAGGAAAAGAACACTATAAAGTTGATTAATCTGCCTGGGGAACGGGGCACACCTCATCAACAAGGGTACCTGCACAATGAATATTTGTATACCTAACCCTGAATTGTGCCCCACAATTTTAAAATAAAAAATTTAAAAGTTAAAAAAAAATATATATATATATATAAGCACATAAACATTAGCTATGGCACACTCTTGCTGGCATAATGTACCTATAAACTTTATCAAAAATCAATTTGTTCAAAATACTTTATGCAAATAAAATAAAATAATTTTCAATGCCAGTCACGACGGCTCACACCTGTAATCCTAGAACTTTAGGAAGCTGAGACAGGAAGATCACGTGAGCCTAGGAATTTGGGACCAGCATAGGCAACATAGTTAGACCTTGTCTCTACAAAAAATAAAAAAATTAGCTGGGCTTGGTGGCATACACCTGTAATACCAGCTACTCAGGAAGGCTGAGGTGGAAGGCTTGCTTGAGTCCGGCAGGTGAAGGCTGCGGTGAGCTGTGATTGGGTCACTGCACACCAGCTGGGCAATACAGTGAGATCCTGACTCAAAACAAAATTTTTTTTAATTGTTCTCCCATGCCAAAGTGACTCCCATCTGTCCCTCTTGCATAAATAGCCATGTCTATTAAAATCAGAAAGTGACCGAATATGAATGGATCTTTCTTTTCTTTTTAGAGAGGGTCTCAAAACCCAAAATCTTCTGGACCTGTAAGAACGCAAGCCTGACCTGTGAGGTAACGAAAGGCACTGACCTCGAATTGCAGCTCTATCAGAATGGGATGCTTCTCACAAGAGGCTTTCAGAAGGTCATCACACGTAGGTGGCACACCAACCAGAGTGCAGCATTCGAGTGCGTGGCAAAGAACAAGTGCAGCGAGAATTCCAGCAAAGAGGCTGTCATCTGTTCAGGTGCGTGGTGGGCACGGCTTTACTACACAGCCGTTCAGGCCCACGCAGGCAGGGGCATGCTCCCCAGGGCCTGGGAACTTGGGCTGGGAGTGAAAACGTACCTCTTTCTCCTGGAAACCTTCCAGGGTTAGAGGAGGCGGTGTTCTAGGGCTACACATCTTGGAAGCCCTCGCTTGGAGCACAATTTGACCCAGGGCAATTAAAAAGAGCCTCTCCTGAGAGAAAGAATTACAGAATTGAAGTGGAAGAAGGAGCTGTGGAAATTATCTCATGTTGGCCGGGCTCGGTGGCTCAGCCTGTAATCCCAGCACTTTGGGAGGCCGAGGCAAGTGGATTGCCTGAGACCCTGGGTTTGAGACCCATCTGGGCAACTTGGCAAGACCTCGTCTCTACAACAAATCAAAAAGTAGCTGGGCATGGTAGCGTGTGCCTGTAGTTCCGGCTACTTGGAAGGCTGAGGCTGAAGGATCCCCGGAGCCCAGCAGGGCGAGGTTGTGGTGGCCGGGAGCATGCCTCTGCACTCCAGTCTGGGTGACAGAGTGAGACTCCAACTCAAAAAAAAAAAATTATCTTATGCAAAGCCCCATTTCTCAGAGAGGGAAACTGACCTGCCCAGGTCCCTCAGTGGCTTAGTGACTGTGATTTCAACTTCTCCCTTAAAGACTCCCTTTATGGAGGAAAGACAGTCAGTGAATGGTCAGCGCCTACTTTCAGCAGTAAGGGTAAAAAGCCTGGAGAGATGCTGAGAGGCAGGGGCGTAGGGGAAGGGAGCACTCGATGTCAAAGAGGACTGTGAACACATTGAGACAACAGTCCTCCTGACAGACAGCCCCGCATTAGGATGAGCTCCAGAAAGTCCCGAAGCTCCAGGTCTAATTTATCCCGTGTCGCAGCTGGACATGACCTCTAGAAGTCATTTTCGAGAGGCAGGCTGCTATAGTGTCCAAGCTTTTGCCTGGAAGGCAGAGCGCTAGCCGTCTAGTCTGGGTCCGTCCAAATTTATCCAGGCGGGCCTCGATAGAGTCTCTGGGTTTCAGCCTTCTAGTTCGCAAAGAAAGTGAGCTCCAGGATCACAGGATATCATATGAGTAGGCTCTTGGGTCCGCTTCAAAGCTCGCTCATGTGGGCCATTGGACTGCCTCGCAATATGGTGGCTGGTTTCCCTCAGAGCAGTCTAAGAGAGAGCAAGGATAAGTGCCCAAGACAAAGGTCACAGTCTTTTTAAAATTTTTTTCTCTTCATTTAAAAAAATATTTCGTAGAGATGGGATCTTGTTATGTTGCCTAGGCCGGTCTCAAAAATTCTGGGCCTCGAGTGTCCTTCCGCCTCAGTCTCTCAAAGTGCTGAGATGACAGGTGTGAGCCACTGTGCTCCACCAGTCATAGTCTTTTTATAATTTCATCTCAGGAGTGATTAATCTCTCAATCACTTCTGCTGTATTCTAGTCATTGGAAACAAGTCAGCAAATCCAGGCCACACCCTGTGATCGGGTGGGAGGACCAGGAGGCAGGAGTCATGGGGGGCATCTGAGATCCCATCCACCAGCATCACTCCACTCCCTCATGTTTGTCACTAGCCGTCCCCCACAGCCCCATCCCTGAGGCACAGTGAGTGACGTGGCCTCTCCTTGATTTCACAACTCTCTTTGCCCTTTCAGGAGACCTTTGAGTTGCCAGCTTTAGCAGTATCAGTGTGTTCCAAATATTGCACGAAACATACTTACACTAGACATCATTCATTGTTTATCTGAAATGCAAACTTTTTTATTTTAAAAATTTTTTTAATTTTAAAGATGTGGGGTGCAATTCAGAGTTAGGCAGACAAGTGGTCATCATACAGGTAAGGTCTGGGCCTCCCTTTGGTCCCCACTTGGCTCGGTGTGAGATCAAGTACACTTATTGATGTTGTGTTTCTCCCTCCTCCATCCAGGCAATATCCCACTACCACCAGTCCCTTTCTTACAGCATTATGGTAAATGTCCAGGGCCCGCTTATGAGTGAGGACACGTGGTCCTCAGGTCTTTGTTTCCGCGATACACCGAAATGCAAATGGAACGGAGTGTCTTGCATCTTATCTGCCAATCCTAGTTTTCCTGTTTATTTTCAACAGAGCCCACTCGTATAAAAATGTGGGGGGGTGGAAGGAGGGAGGAATGGAGGACCTCGGGGGCCGCCGAGGCGTGAAGGCTGGAACACGCGTGTTCCCCGCTCTCCGGTACAGAGTGGGAGCCGGCTGAAGGAAGGGCCACCGCAGAGACAGGGGTGGGGAGCCTGGGGAGGAGGGGCTGGTCTCGAAGACCCCGAAAGGTAATCCGTACATTTTGTTCTGAAAGGCCAAGGCAGAGAGGAGCAGTGATCAGACTCTGACCATCTGGCTCCGATCAGGTGAGCTTGTACGGACGTCAAACCTAAGTCCTGGGAGGAAGAACAGATTCCGACACACAGGAAATACTCCATTATGGAAGGTTTCTCCAAGAGAAACTGTCGGAGGGATCTAGGGACAGTGAGGACACATTTTTAAATGACAGAGCCACAGCTGCCTCTGAGACAAGCTGGAACGCTCCCCATCGAGAGCGCCACCAGGCACCCAGGGGCCACATCAGACGAACCTGAGAGCAGACTGTGAGAGGCGTTTCCTGCACTCTTAAGTGTGCCCAGGGCCCAGGTGTGGGCTCCTCTGAGAGAGGAGCAACAGGTGGCTGCATGACTTAGCTGTGTGCTCCCCAATGCATCTCAGGCCCAGCCTGGCCCAGCCTGACTCACACTGGGAAAGTCCTCAGCCAGCAAGAGGCGGAGGCCAGGAGTCCCTGCCCCTCCTCCACACCAGCGGGGCCACTGGCCGGGGTCTTTCTGGGCCCATTTGCAAAGGGTTAGGATTAGGCCCGCTTCTCTATGGAGGCCTGGCGAAGACTGGGTCCCAGAGAGCCTTGAGGCGAGAAAGCCCACAGTGAACAAGCCACCGCCATGGGACAGGCCGTTAAATTTGGCTTCTGAGCCTCCAGCGTGCTCTTGGGGGCCCATCCCGGGCTTCAGGCGGAACCGCCTCTTCCTGGAATTTTTTGGCCGGAGAAGCGCTTCTTTCGTGTTGCCGGGCCAGGCTCTAGTTTGTTCCTCAGAAGTCCCAGCCCCTTGACTCCCGGGACCCCCACCCCTCTATTGACTCACCAAAGGCAGGCAGCTCAGCTCCCCGCCTGAGACACAGCTCCCAGAATCGGCAGGGCAAAGAGCGTGGCTCAGAGCAAGACCTCCCGTTTGTGTGTTGTTTTACAGTTTACAAAGCACTTTCACATCCTTTACCTGACTGGCTTCCAACAGCCACCCTGTGATGTAGGTTTCACCATCACCACTTTACAAAGGAAACGGGCTCAGAGAAGTGAATGAACCCGCCGAAGGTTACACAGCTCTTGCTTAGAAGAGCCTGGACCCAAACTCATTTCCCTTAATGCCAAAGTTACTCTTTTCCACGTTGTATTACAAGCCAGCGAAGATCTGGCAACTGAAGAAAGCCTAAGTCCACTGCTGGGGCTATCTCGCCATATGTCTGAGTTTCTCTCATGGGTCCAGGGAAATCTGTGAGGGGGTGCTGGCTGTGAGGTCAGAGAGCTGGGCTGGACAAGTGAAATATTTACCCCGAGTGTTTAGAAACTGCCTGGTTGAGAGGGTGAGAAAGAATCGTGGCTCAGGCTGTGTGCGGAGTCTCATTCCTGTAATCCTAGCACTTTGGGAGGCTGAGGTGGGCGGATTACTTGAGCCCAGGAGTTGGAAACCAGCCTAGGCAACACAGTGAGACCTCATCTCTACAAAATATCAAAAAATTAGCCGGGTGTGGTGGTGCACACCTGTAGTCTCAGCTGCTTGGGAGGCTGAGGCCAAAGGATTGCCTGAGCCCAGGAAGTTGAAGCTGCAGTGAGCTGTGATCACGTCACTGCACTACAGCCTGGGCTGAGCTGTGATTGTGTCACTGCCCTCCAGCCTGGGTGACAGGAAGACCTCACCTCAAAAAAAAAAATTACAGTGTAGGAGGGAAGCCAAAGATAAGAGTGGGATGAACAGCACAGAAACATCAAGAAAGGGGCCACTCAAGGGAATTACTCAGAGACAGATACTGCATGGCCTCAAGCAACGCATCCGTGCTCTTGCGGCCTCACCTCTGAAACCAGGAGTATCTCTAAACTCCTCAGACCTAAATTCCGTGATGCTCTCTGTGATGGGGGCAGTGGACAGGTCCTGGGCGTGAGCCATCACGCATTTCTAGTTCCTGAGAACAGTTTCCAAGAAGCCTGCAGGGGACTTCCCCTGGACCCCGGACCCTTGCAGGAGTCGATACTGCTCACCGTTCTACGTGAGCTTGTCCGCCATGAGGCTGAAAGGTCCCATGGAGCTCCTCTGTCTGATGCGGGAGGCAGTGTCCGTGGTCAGAGCAGTGAAACGGGCCCTCCATCCAGACCCCTCACAGCCCTCTCACTTCTGTTCCTCTTGCAGAGAAAGGTCTGGACATCTACCTCATCATCGGCATCGGTGCAGGAGGCACCCTCTTGATTGTCTTTGTGGCACTGCTCATTTTCTACATTAGTAGGAGGAAAAAGCAGAACAGAAGGAGAAATGGTGAGCTCCCCTCTGGGTGGTACCGTAGGCCCCAGCAAAATCCCCTTGAAGCACCTCAGGTGGATGACGTCTGGAGTCTGCAGAAAAGTGCTGGACTTGGGTGGTTCCGGAATGCCAGGGCTGGGGCCAGTGGTGGTTGTTGGTTGCATTTTGTGGTGGCCTCGATTTCTGAAAAACAAATTCTTCGCGTGGGAGCTTTGAGCTGCTGAATCCAGTTGGTTTCATGGGAATCCACCACCGAGGCCTACTTGGGGCGAGGCTAGTGAGGGCACACTTCGAATGAGCCATACATCTCTAGGTGCGTAGAAGGGTGAGCGCCCAACACCGTTTCTAAGAACCAACGTCTTTTCTGTGGGTGGCCCACGTTGGTTCAGGACCAGGCTCCCAGGAACACACGTAAAATCATTCGGCCACCGGGGATTCATGGGAAGACAGCTGTTCAAAGTAGGGTGCCTGTGTTCCCTGTTCTAATTTACTGTTCAGGGACGATGTGTTAGGGCTGAGAGTGTTCTCTCCCCGAATCAGGCCTGTTTGCCCAATCACCCTAGATGAAGAAGTGCTCATAAGTGGGGAACAGGCTTAGGGCACATCCAGGCCACCCACGGCTGAACACTTCAGGAAAGGACAAGCCAGGTGTCACCACAGGGGCAGGGGTGAGCGCATCAGGTGTAGGCTGGACATTCAGCCTGGTGGGCAGGCCCCGGGCTTCTCTGCAGTCCACGTTCACTGCAGGACTGAGGCCCTCATGCTGGGTGTCTCCTGAGTGTGCACCCGGCACGCCCACACCGGCTACTTCTAGCACCACCCAAGGATCTGGCCGGAACCTCCCAGGTAGTGGTGGTCTTGCGCCTGTGCCTTTTGGGTTTGGCTTTCTCACCTCAGTCTTCTTTCCTCAGTTCTCCTTCAGCCCCTGCTTCAAGCCCCCACCCCTCACGCCTGCCCCACATTCCGGGCCCTAAAACGTCTTCCTCAACTCAGCGCCCATTCCTCCCTCCACCCTCCCCCACACTCCACCCCCGTGGAACAGACTCACTTGCAGGCTTCCATGGGTGCCCGGGGCTTGCCCGCCCATGTCCTGCTCAGGCTGTTCCCCACCCCTCTGTCACGAATAGGCCCTTTTTCCATCACCTAATGGTCAAAGATCACATCTTCTTCCAAGGTGGACTGCACGTATCCCCTGAAGGCAAGGAGACCCCTGCCGTCCGCAGGCTGAAAAGACCAAACTGAGGATCCACTGGTGCTGACAAAGAAGTTACTAATCTGTGTGCTTTACGTTTATGATCTCATCCAGTTTTTGGGGTGGCTTTAGGCGATGGAGAGCCACACAGATGAGGAAACTTAAGTTCAGTGAGGTTAAATTAGTCAAATTTTATGGCAAGTAGGTTGAGTCGGGGCTAGGCTGAGGCGAGGTGTCCGGAGCACAAGACTCAAGGAGGCCCTCAGGCCTGCCCCACCCTTGCTGGACCCTGAGGCTGGCTCCCTCTTTCAAGTTTGAGCTCTATCTCCCTCCCCAAGAGAGAAAAATGAGGGAGAAGGACAGTGAGACAGGAGGAATTCCTTGGAGCAGATGGTCAGGCAGTGACTGGAGCTGCTGATCCGGCCCGCTGGGGTCCCCCTGCAGTCCTGCTGTGACCCATCAGGCAGCACAGAGCCGCAGCTGGTCTTGTCTGTCCAACCCAGCCCTAGGCCTTGGCCGCTTGGCCACAGCTCACTCCTCCTACCAGAACTCAAGTGCCTCTCTGGTGGCCCTGGGCTCTTACTGGAAGCTGACATTGCGATCTGCAGTCCGGCTCGGCCTCGCTTACTTGGTTTTAGGCTTCCTGAGGACGGAGTTTGTGGCTGAGTCATCATGACACTTAAAGATGAGGAATAAATGTTGGAAGAACGAATGCGCAAAACAGTGGATGGACGGAGCAGTAAACAAACAGCCCGTCCAAGCTCACCATGCAGGAGATGAGGAACTGGGGTCAGGGGTCAAAGTCCTCCCCACAGCCTCCTGGGCGTGACCTCGGCTACTCCAGGGCCCTGAAGATGGCACAGAGGAAGTGCTCTGCCCTTTCTGGGGCCCTCTCCTCCTTGAGTTTAGAGCCTGCGGGCCACTCAGTTGTCAAACTCTCATTGTCTGGCTTTGAGTCTTCACGCGCAAAGCTGCCTGATGCCTGCATTTCTGGTAGTCAGGGGAGGCTGTCTGGTGGGCATCGTCACCCCAAAGTCACAGGGTGAGGCTTAGGGAGGGACTGTGCTTCCCTGGCCGCATATCTCTACCGAGATGTAAGAGGTCATTATTTTACCCCAGGGAGAATCTTCTTCCTCCCGCCTCTGGAGCTGCTGAAGGAAGGCCTAGGCTTCAGGCTCTGGCATACTGAACTAGGCACCTAAGGAGGCCAGAGGGGCCGGCAGGGCCCTCCAGGCCAATAGCAGCTGGCCACCCTCGCAGATTTCCTGTGTGCTTGTAAACCAGCACCGGAAGGATGGCATTGCTGGGAGTCGTGGGCCGACACGGACTGAAGCCACACAGAGCGGAGATTCCGTAGGGTGAGAAGAGGAGGACAGGCCATGAACTTCTGAGGAGCTCGTCAGTCTCTAAGGATAGGAAAGTCCCTTGTGTGAACTCCAACCTCTCACCAGAATGTGGGTCACAGGACAACAGAAGCGGCAAAAGGCAGTTCTAACGTAGAAACCCACAGAAGGAATGTAGTTACTAATATCCTCCACCTTGCTCAGGTCCCACGGCGGCCTCTACCCACGAGGCTCTGGCTCCCAGGGTGCAGCCTCCAGGGTGGTGTGCAGGCAGAGCCCCGGCATCTGAGGACCCCCTGTCCGCACGTCTTCTTGCTGGTTCCCTGAGTTCTCCAAAGTCTCTCGGTCTATCCTGTGGTGAGCCTTTCTGTCTCTCCTACAAGACCCAGAGCTCTCAGAGATAGGGGGCAGCTTCTGCTTCCTCATGGTGCCCCCAAAGCAGCTAGCATGACGCTTTGCTCATAAATGGCAAATTGATATTTACGTTGACTGCACCTTGCCAGGGTGAACTCTACTGAGGCTTTGTCGTTGCAGATGAAGAGCTGGAAATAAGAGCCCACAGAGTAACTGTACCATCAGAGGAAAGAAGTCGGAGACTCCCCCAAATTCCAGCCTCAAGTCTGCAAAATCCAGCTGCCTCCCAGCCTGCTCCACCGCCTGGTCATCGTGCCCAGGCACCTGGTCTCCGTCCCCTGGCTCCTGGCCACCGTGTCCAGCAGCAGCCTCAGAAGAGACCTCCTCCTCCGTCAGGCACACATGCTCACCAGCAGAAAGGGCCTCCCCTCCCCAGACCTCGAGTTCAACCAAAACCTCCCCAGGGGGCCACAGAAAACTCGCTGTCCCCTTCCTCCAACTAAAAGCGATGGAGCCTGTCCTTTCCAATAAAAAACACTGCGGCCTTCTCCACCTCGACCGTGCATGTCTGCATTTCCATCAAGGGTTTTCCACATGCAGAACCGTATCACGGCCTGAGGCATGTGGGGCACGGCCGCCCCTGCACCTTGTAACTCAGCTGGGTGGTCGCCATCTGGAGTCTTCGGTCTCCTCAGAGAGCTCCGTCACACCAGGAAGGGAGAAACAGCGAAGTGTGGTTGGAAGGATGATGCATGACCCAGCACAAAAGTCTAGAGCTCTCTCGTCTCCTTGTCGGGTCACATGCGGATGTGATGACGCAAGTAGTTGCTGTGCCTGGGTCTCCCTACAAGCAACCTACCTGCCTGAGAGGATCTTGGGTTTCTTTGTGTCCTGGTGGACACTTGCCCACTGTCCTGTGAGTAGAAGTGAAATAAAAGCTTTGGCTTGACCTGTGTCTGCTGCTTGTAGGAAAGAGCCCAGTGGTCATGAGAGGAAGCTGCCGGACAAGAGAGAGGCTTGTTTGCGTGATAGCAGGATCAAGTTTAGTCAACCCAAATCACACGAGCCACGGGAGTCCCCACCAGCATGACCAAAACATGCTCCCCAGCTGCAAAGCTGGGCCCGACAATCTATTTGTAGGTTCATGTGATGAGTTGAAACCTCTGTGACGAATGTCAATGTGAGGTAAAGAGAAAGAAGACTTTCTCTTTTTTTGTTGTCTTTTTTTTTGAGTTGGAGTCTCACTCTGTCGCCCAGGCTGGAGTGCAGTGGCACACTCATGGCCACT